ATTTCCCACTTGGGTACAGGGGCCCAAGCACTTGGGCCATCTTCCACTGCCTTCCCAGGCAGTGAGCAAAGGGCTGGATCGGAGGAGGAGCCAGCCAGGACACGAATCAGCGCCCATATGAGATGCCTGTGCCTGCAGCAGCAGGCTAAGCCTACTACACCACAGTGTCACCCCCTTGGTTAAATTTTGATAACAAAAAGGCAACATAGCAAAGTTGAAAGCATGATGGATTTGTTATCAGACAACTTAGGTTCTAATATAACGTGAAATAGAATTCTAAATACTTTGAGTAGAGGTGAAGAGGACAGACCAGTTAGTACTACCCAGAATAGTTAGGATAGTAGCTAATTTCTGTTTTTCTCCCATTTCTTTCACTTAATGAAGTGAATAAATTTAGGGTAACTTACTACTTAAAAGTAACTTAAAAGTGTTATTACTGCATTATTTTCCTATTGCGCATAAACAGACATACAGACCAGTGGAGCAGAATGAAAACCCTAGAAGTGAACATAAATCTTCCAGCCACCTGATTTTTGACAAAGATGCTAAGAATATGCGTTAGAAAAAGGACAGTCTTTTTAATAAATGGTGCTGGGGAAATGGATATCTACATACAGAAGACAACCCTCTCCTCCATGCTTTCCCAACACTCACTATGTAAAACTATCAACTCAAAGTAGGTTAAAGACTTAAATGATTTAAGACCTGAAACTTTGAAACTACTGTAAGAAAACATAGGAGAGATGGTTCAGGGTATGAAATGAGCAAAACCTTTTTGAATCAGAATCCGGAATCATAGGAAACAAAAGCAAAATAGCAAATGAGATTCCATCAAAATAAAGAGAACAGCAAAGGAAGCAACCAAAGTAGTGAAGAGGCAACCTACAGTATAGAAGAAAATACTTGCAAGTTGTTTATCTGAAAAGAGTTTAATAACCAGAATTTATAGGGAACTTAGATAACCCAATAGCAAATAAACCAAGTAGTCTAATTAAAAATGAGAATAAATCTGAACAGATATATCAAAGGGGAGGACATTCAAATAGTCAAATAGGTACATGAAAAAAGTGTTTAGCATTACTAATCATTAGGGAAATGGCAGATCAAAACCACTGTGAGCTATCTCGTTGCTCCAGTTAGATTATTGCAAAAAAAAAAAAAAAAAAGACAGTGATAACAGATGGTAGTCCGGATCTGCTTGAGAAAAGACAGACCTTGCACGCTATTGGTGGGAATGTAAATTAGTACAGCCATTGTGGAAAAACAGTACAGAGGTTCCTCAGAAAACTGAAAATAGAACCACCAGATGATCCATCAATCCCACTCCTGGGAATATCCCAGGGAAATGAAATCACTCTGCCAAACAGATATCTGTGCTCCCATGTTTATTGTAGTACTAATCATAGCAGCCAAGACATGGAAAAAACCTCAGTGTCTATCCACTGATGAATAGATAAGGAAAGTGTGGTACATATACAAAATGGAGTATTACTCAGCCATAAACTATGAAATCTTGTCATTTTCAACAATATGGATGGAGCTGGAAGTCACATATTAAGTGAAATAAGCCAAGTATAGAAAGACAAGTTCAGATGACCTCACTCGTCTGTGGAATCTGAAAAAAAGTTATTACTACAGAAGCTTAGAGCTGGCAAAGGCTGAGGAGAGAAGGGAGAGGGGAGATAGGGAAAGGCTGATTAATGGCTTCTAATTTAGTTAGATGGAAGTCAGAAATTCTGGTGTTCAATAGAATGAACACCATAGTAATATATTTTGCTGAAAGAGAAACTAGTAGAAGATGTTTTGATTTTTTTTTACCACAGAGAAATGTTAAATGTTTTCTCTGATTAGACATTCTACAGTGTATATGTCAAAACATGGTATTCCATAAATATCTATAATTTGTGTCAGTTAATGAAAAAAATTAGGTGTCAGCATTGAAGCATAGTGGGTTAAGCTGCTGCCTGTGACACTGATACCAGACATTGGAGCACTGAATTGAATCCCAGCTGCTTAGTCCCTCCCTCCCTCCCTTCCTTCCTTCCTTCACAGGTAGAGTTACAGTGAGAGAGAGAGAGACAGAAAAGTTTTCCTTCCGTTGGTTCACTCCCTAGATGGACCCAACGGCAGGAGCCACGCCAAATCCGAAGCCAGGAGCCAGGTGCTTCTTCCTGGTCTCCCAAGCAGGTGCAGGGGCCCAAGCACTTGAGCCATACTCCACTGCCTTCCCAGGCCACAGCAGAGAGCTGGACTGGAAGAGGGGCAACCGGGACTAGAATCGGCTTCCATATGGTATGCAGGCGCCACAGGCAGAGGATTAACCAAGTGAGGCATGGCGCCGGCCCCAGCTGCTTAGTTTCTGATCCAGCGCCCTTCTTTTTTTTTTTTTTTTTTTTGACAGGCAGAGTGGACAGTGAGAGAGAGAGACAGAGAGAAAGGTCTTCCTTTTGCCGTTGGTTCACCCTCCAATGGCCGCTGCGGCCGGCGCGCTGCAGCTGGTGCATCACGCTGATCCGAAGGCAGGAGCTAGGTGTTTCTCCTGGTCTCCCATGCGGGTGCAGGGCCCAAGCACTTGGGCCATCCTCCACTGTACTCCCTGGCCACAGCAGAGAGCTGGCCTGGAAGAGGGGCAACCGGGACAGAATCCAGTGCCTGACCGGGACTAGAACCTGGTGTGCTGGCGCCGCAAGGCGGAGGATTAGCCTAGTGACCCACGGCACCCTTCTAATGCGCTTGCGAAAGCAGCAGAATATGGCCTGAGTACTTGTGCTCCTGACACCATGTGGGAGAACAGGATGGAGTTCCTGGCTTCAGCCTGGCCCAGTCCTGGCCATTGTGACCATTTGGGGAGTTAACTAGTGGGTAGTAGACACAAACTTTGTGTCTCTCCTTATCGTCTGTCATTCTGCCTTTCAAATATAAATAAAACCGAAGCTTAGAAGTAAAAATGACTTGCCTGTTAAAGGAGCCACTTTGGGCAATGTTTGTTTAAGATCATGTTCTCCTAATGAATTTAAACAGAATTGCCAGGCTCACAGTGGTTTTGTAACAGATTTATTAGTAAATTTCACGTGCTTACAGATTTCAGAATTCACAACTTTTTTCAGTTATAAAGTAAAGGGAATCAAGGCTTTATTGGTACCTCCTCCCTGTTTCAAAAGCACCCTCTACAGAAGCTCAGATGTCTTCCCAGATAGCCCTTGACTAGTGCATATTTTAAAAGTTCTTAAATTTATTTGAGAGACACACAGAGAGAGTTCCCATTTGCTGGTTCTTTCCCCAAATGTCCACAGTGACTGGGGCTAGGCCAGGGCTGGAGCTGGGAGCTGAGAATGCAATTTAGGTCTCCCCCATGGGTGGCAGGAATACAGTTACTTTATCCTTCACCACTGCATCCTAGGGTCTGCAGAGTTAGGGAACCAGAATCAGGAGCCAGGAACTGAGCCCAGGGACTCCTATTTGGGATGTGAACATCTTAAGCACTAAGCTAACTGCCCACTCCCCATTTTCTTTGGTTGACTTTGTTGTATCTCAAAGCTTACACGCAGTTCAGGCCATCCATCTCACATCTGTTTATCAACATGTTTGACTTCTGCTTTTCAGAAAAACAAAAAGAGAAGCCATTAAATGTTACTCAGCTTAATTTGTTTATTCTCTAAATGTAGCTACAGGAATTTCATCTGTAGGTCATTTTTTTTCCTGTTTTATTCCGTGTAATCTGCAGTTCATTAGGGACATCCTTGTCTAGGATGCTATGTTGCAGCTTCATGATTGTTTTAAGAGTTAGAGAGAGGAAGAGACAGGGAGACAGATCTTCCATCCGCTGCTTAACTCCCCAGATGGCCACACTGGCCAGAACTGGGCCAGGCCAAAGTCAGGAGCTGGAGCTTCCTCCAGGTGTCCCATGATGATGGCTGGGGCCCAAATATGTGGGTCATCTTCTGTTAATTTCCCAGATGAGTTAGCAGGGAACTGGAGTTGAAGTGGAGAAACTGGGTCTTGAACTGGCACCCATAAGGGGTGCTAGTATCATAGCCAGCAGCTTAATTTGTTGTAGCACACAATCTGGTTTGCTGTGGTTACCTTTATATTCTTTTTCTGATTCTTTTCCCTCAATTTGAAAATACATGCCTTAAATATGTACTGTTTTCCTTTGTATATACTTAAACAAGTTTGTTTTTATACATGCACACCTTTTTTCTTTTAAGAAAAGGCCTCTTGTAGCCTCCCTTTTTCTACCTAAGGTGACCATGTATCTTGCTTATGTAGGATAATCCCCATTTATTCCTGTCCCTTCTACTGTTTTTAAAAAGAATTAGTTATTTGAAAGACAGTGACAGAGTGTGAGAGGTACAGGGAATTCTTCCATCTGCTGGTTCACTCCACAAATAGCTGCAACAGCAGATGTGGTCCAGGCTGAAGCCAAAGGGTAGGAACTCTATCCTCCTCAACCCACGTGGGGTTCAGGGACCCAGTTCTCCTGCTGCTTCTCAGTGCATGCGTTAGAAGGAAGCTGGAATTGGAAGTAGAGCCAGGACTTCACCTAGGCGCTCCGGTTTGGGATTCAGATATTCAAAGCAGTGCTTTAAAGTTGTGCCAAATGCCTGCCCAAACAGAACTGTTCCAAATTATGAGATGATCTTATGATATCTAGGTCTGTGCCATGAAATAAACAAACATTTTTGGTATGTTAAATGTGTGAGTACTTATATGTGTTTATTAACTCTTTCTGGAATTATATGGGATGACTGTATTTTGATAGTCTTCAGTTTATTTTTAAATAAAACTAATTTTTTTATTTTGCTTTTATTTTGTTTTTGCATTTTGATCAAAAGTTTCATAGCTGTGTAACTTTCAGCCCTCTGTTACATAATGATATTTTACTTAAAGATCTGTTCTATATAATACTAATTCTGTCTTTTTTGGTATGTTTTGTTTCTAAGAATGTGTGAGTGATATTAATAAAGTAACTCTAATGGATCTTTATTTTTTTTTTCAAGTTGGCCTTTGCCAGAGTTTGACCCAAGCCAGATTCGACTGATTGTGTACCAAGACTGTGAAAGACGAGGGAGAAATGTTTTGTTTGACTCCAGTGTTAAGAGAAAGAATGAGGATATATCGGTATCGGTGAGCACTATTATTGATTTAGTTGAAATTTAATGTTGGATATTTTAATAAGACAGAATAAGCAGCATTTTGACTGATACTTTCTCATTTGTCCATATAAAGCATTTTTATCTGTTTTAAAATTCAGAGTTCTGATTTTTAGGTTTTCTTTTTTTGTTTTTTAAAGAAAATATTTGCATTTTTCTGATCATTAGACTAGCCAGAAAGTATTTTAGTTTGACATTTATTTCCTTTTATGATTGTACTGAAAGATATGACCAAAGGTACTAGGATCTTTTTAAAGGATCTGATGTAAACCTTTTATTTCACAATTGTTGAAGTGAGACCTAAGGAAGTGAAATTAAGCAAGTCATGTCTTCAGCAGTTAGTCCATCATAATTTCCTCTACTCTAAAGTAGTGACAAGAGCTTCGATTCTGTTAACTTTCAGTGCCATATTTTGGAATATTTTGTGACCGTAAACAACTATAACAAAATTCTTTTGGGAAAACCTTTCCTGTTAGAATTGTCTGTTAAACATTATTCTTTGAGAATTGAGAGTGTATATTTGAGATTTTGTGTTCTGAACAAAATTTTAATATGTTGGCCATTATCTGTTGTTTCATTTTTAACTATATCCTTAGCATCCAGTACACTAGCATGTACTAGATTCATTTGTTAAGTTATTTTAATGGTCTAGTGTTTACAGTGCTTATGTAATTGTTGGCAAGCAGATTTTTCAGGTTTTTGGAGATCATGGTTTATTTAGATTGTGTATTCATTTTCTGAATACTTTTGTCAATCGGATAAGAAAAACACATTTATTTATATAAGTGACTAAGTGTCTACAAAATATTGGGCACTTGGAGATTTAGCATTCTTTCCCTTTTGGCATCCATTATGGAAGGCTGGCATCAAAAGTATGCAGGGGCTGGTGTTGTGGTGTAATGGGTAAAGCCGCCGCCAGTGATGCTGGTGTCCCATATGGGTGCCAGTTCCTATCCTGACTGTTCCACTGCTGATCCAGCTCCCTGCCACTGCACCTGGGAAAGCAGTGGAAGATGGATCAAGTGCTTGGGCCCCTGCTACCCACATGGGAGAACTGAATGAAGCTCCTGGCTCCTGACTTCAGATTGGCTCAGCCCTGGCCATTGTAGTTTCTTGGTGAATGAACCAGAGTAAGGAAGACCTCTTCCTCCCTCTGTCTGTCTTTCTTCTCTTTGTGTAACTCTGATTTTCAAACAAATAAATAAATCTTTTAGGAAAGCCACACACACATAGATTTCTAAATCAGAATTAAGTACTGTAAAGGAAACTCACAAAATGCTTATGAGATGCTGATAGGATGCATCTAAAGTTTTCATCAGTTTGAATGTGGGGTCATTAATGAAGGTCTTATTGAGAAAGTAAAATTCAAGCTGAATTCTGAAAAAATGGAAGACACGCAATCAGGAATGAGTATTCCTGTTAGGAAGATCAGAAATTCAGAGTCTACAAAGTGACTTAGGAGCATGGTGAATTTATGGAACTAAAAGATTAGGCCAGTCTTCCTGGAATGATGGTAATACAGAAAATGACTACAGATGAAATTGGACAGAGATAGGGTAGGAGCCGAGAATTCAGTACCTGATAGATGTCTAAATTAGAAATCTAATTTATAATCTAAGTTTAAATTATATCCTAAATGCAGAAGGAAGACACTGAAGGAATCTAGCTTACATTTCAAAAAATCAGTTTAGCTGCTATGTGGAGCAGTGGTTGGATGAGGGCTACAGAAATGTTTGGCAAATTAATATTTTGGTTTTGGTTGAGTAGTGACATGCCAAACAGTTATGTAGAACTGGACATGGTCAAGCAGAGAGTTGAACACTGTGGCCAACGACAGATGTGATAAGCATGTCTTTATATGTAGACTGCCAATAGCTCAGTAGAACTTGCCTGAGGCTTACAGATTGACAGTGAATAATCTGTGCTGTTGATTATTTCTTAACTAATGCAGTTATTGAGGTTTTTCATTGTGGTCTCTGTTTGAATCACAGAATACAGCCTCCCTTTTACTGTTTGTCTTGATTAATACTACATTTTGTGTGTTTCTTCAGCATTCAATTTTTTTGTTTTAAAGATTTATTTATTTTACTTGAAAGAGAAAAGGAGAGGCAGAGAGAGAGAGAGAAAGAGAGAGAGAGAGGAAGGGAGGGAGGGAGGGAGAGGTCTTCCATCTGCTGATTCACTCCACAGTTGGCCTCAATGGCTGGAGCTGTGCCAGTCCAAAGCCAGGAGTCAGGAGCTACTTCTGGGTCTCCCACACAGGTGCAGGGGCCCAAGGACTTGGGCCATCTTCCATTGCTTTCCCAGGCCACGGCAGAGAGCTGGATAGGAAGTGGAGCAGCCGGGACTCGAACCAGTGCCCTTATGGGATGCCGGCACTGCAAGCAGCGGCTTTACCTGCTACACCACAGTGCCAGCCCTAGCATTGCATTTTTTTTAAACGGTCCTGAAAATTGGGATTTATGCTGTCTTTTGATGGGATGGTGTTTCATTATTCTCATTGATTTTCTGTACTGCTAATGTGTTCTCTGTTCCCTCTCAGTTTTCTTTGCCTTCATACATTCACAAAGCATCATTTTTAAAACAACAACAACAACAAACATTTACATGTCTTAGTTTGAGCTTCTGATGTTGTAGGCTAAAAGAACCCCAGGATCAGGGTGTGAACGTTGTTGGGTTTTTCTGAGGCCTCTCGTGTGTATTGTAGACTGCTGACATCCTTTCATGTGGAGGTGAGAGGGTGAGAGCGCCCTCTGAAGTACTTTTTTACATAAAGAAGGACATTAATCTCATTTATAAAATAAGTTCTCCACCCTTAGGATGTAATCATCTCCCAAAGTCTCCACCTTCTCATACGAGGGGGTTAGGATATCAACATGTGAATCTGAGGTGGATACAAGAATTTGGTCCATAAGTCTACTCTGTCTTTGCCTCAGTTTATCGCCCTCAGTGTTTCTTCTCAATGTTGTTAGTGGGTCTTTGTGCCTCTTTCTATCGCTGTCTGTCTCAGAATCTTCTGACTTCTCTCAGTCTTTCCTTACTATCCGTGGGTCTATCCTTGATGTGTCTTGATTGTAATCTGTCGGATCTTTTTTCATACTGTCTACTTATTACTCAATATCTGACATTTTCCAAAAGCCTACTCTTCTTTTTTAAACTTTTCTCTAAGTTGTTAGTGCCTAGAAATCAAGTATTGAATGTTTCAGCCTCACTTTTTTTAGATGTTTCTTCATCCTACATGCTATCTCCCCCAGTTATTCTCCTTTAAGGTTGATTTTGTCACAACTTTAGGAGCCTTTCTGATTTCATCTAGGTGAGTTTTATCTGTGTATATTCCTTCTCTGTTCCATCCGAGTGTCATAGTGATTTACTCATATTCATAGACCTCTAGACCATATCTATATTTGTATATGTATTTATCAACAGATTGGAAAAATTTTAAAGTAAAAAATTGGCTGATTATTCATCTTTATTTCCTGAACTGCTCACTGTTTCACATATGGTAAGTTTAGGGAATACATGTTAATCAGTAATTGTAGATACTGTTAGGAAGTTTATTAACAGAATTCTAAAAATACTATCATGTTGATTTTTGTGTTCCTTTTAGACATTACAGAACATGTTGAAATACCCATTGTTTGCCCTAAATGTGAAGTTTCAGCTTTGAAGTGGTTTTTTTCATCTATTCTACCAGTACTCTTTTTTTTTTTTAAGATTTTATTTATTTTTTGAGAGTTTGAGTTATAGACAGAGAGAAAGGTCTTCCATCTGCTGGTTCACTCCCCATATGGCAGCAATGGCCGGAGCTGTGCCAATCTGAAGCTAAGAGCCAGGTGCTTCCCATGTGCGTGTAGGGGCCCAAGGACTATCTTCCACTGCTTTCCCATGCCATAGCAGAGAGCTGGATCAGAAGAGGAGCAGCTGGTACACAAACTGGCATCCATGTGGGATGCTGGTGCTGTAGGGGGAGGCTTTGCCTACTATGCCACAGTGTTGGTCCCCTACCAGTACTCTTGGAACATCAAATCATGTGGGTTCTATGTAGGCAAATAATGACATATATAAATAGTATCCTAAACTTTTTGCACAGTATTTTTTAGGGCCCATATATAATAATGAAATAATGTAGGCGTTAGCATTTTACTGGATGAAAACAAATCATTCAGCATGTTCGTGTTTACATAGCAGCATTCTCTTCTGTCATTGTAGATGTTTCAGTCATTTCTTGTGTCCTTCCTCTTTCTTAGTTTAAATCATTTTCCTTAGTTTAAAGCAATCTATAGGAGAGAATATGGATTATGAATATTACCTTGGCCATGCAGTTTACGTGAATTTTTATTGAAGAAGTTCTGTCATCTTGCTAAGACAGTCTATAATGCACTGTAAATGGGAAGAGAGCCAAGTTTTAGAATGTAAGGTTTACCATATTTTGTTAATCCCCTTTCTTAACCAAAAGGAAATCAGCTTTTTCTTACTTGGAAATAGGCATACGTTTCTTAGTTTATCATTTTCCTGAATGTGAATTTTAGGATTATGTTTGAAAAAATTCCGTTTGAAAGGTGTCAGGTATGAGTGAAAGTAATATTTGAGCTCACTCAATATGTTGGGTTTAACTAGCTAAATTAAAAGTATATTAATGTGGGCAGGCACTGTGGCATAGTGGGTAAAGCCACTGCTTCCAGTGCCGGCATCCCATATGGGCACCAGTTCGAGACCTAGCTGCTCCACTTCCTATCCAGCTCACTGTTATGGCCTGGGAAAGCAGTAGGAGATGGCTCAAATCCTTGGGTCCCTGCACCTGCGTGGGAGATCTGGAAGAAGCTCCTGGCTCCTGGTTTTAGATCGGCACAGCTCCGGCTGTTGTGGCCAACTAGAGAGTGAACCAGCAGATGGAACACTTCTCTGTCTCTCTGTCTCTGCCTCTCCTTCTCTCTCTGTAACTCTGACTTTAAAGTAAATAAATAAATCTTTTTT